GTCCTCACGCTCGCCCCAGCCCTGCAGGCAGGGAGGGCAGGGGCTCAGCTTTCCCGAGAGGGGCGGATTTCTCACGGTTTTGTGTGATCAGAAATCTGTCACCTCCGGAAAACAGTGACCTGTTTCCTCAGGTTTCTTCTGCGCCTACTTCCACCCCAAATGGCATTATCCTATAAAAAGATAGAGATTACGGCTTCTCACAAATATGTGAGCAATTTGTCTTCGTCCCTCTAGCTTCAGAGCAGGACATTTCAGCTACGTCTGTTTTGTTATTAAGGCAGGAGCTCAAGGTATCGTCCTCTGCTCTGCCACCATCTGGGTGGCCATAATTCCTGACACAGTTAGGGCTCTCCGTTTGAAATCTGCCCAGCTAAATAGAAAGTTAAAATAATTTCAGTCAGTAACTTCATCAAACATGTCCTTGAGATCCTCTGTGAGTTTTTCTGCTTTTCCAGTCTCGATTTTAGTTACTGTAATAACATTCTCCAGTGTTACTTTATGAGATAGGTAGACACAAGAGTGCTTGTGACTGGACTGGAAAATAACGCATAATTGAAGTGGCACTGGGAACAAACATTTCTTTCACCTGTTTCAGTTGCAGAACTTGGAAGCCTAGGTATACATTGTCATATGAAACTATGATTTGTAATGTATGTTACTTTCTCAAGCTTTCCTACTAGTTTAGAACAAGACAGTCGACTGCAGAATATGTCTTTTATTAAAGAGGGCAACAGAAAACAGAAAGGTTATTCTCAGCTGTAGTAGCAGCAATACATAACTCAAGAAGCTGTTTTCGTTTCTTTCCTATATTGAAGTTCCCTGCTCTGAAGCTTCCTCAGAATTCTGCAGGAGATGCTGATTCCCTCTACCACTCACAATCTTGAAATTTGAGGGTTGCTTTCTCTGTCCTTACTTCAGCTAAAATTCTGCTTCTGATGGTTAGCTATTCAGATGCATTCCTCCTTTTGCAACTTGGTTATTTCTGTTTCATTCTGTAGAGCTGATGTCATGTTTGAAGCAATTAACTTTTATCAAGGAAGTATGTACAGATGCTTTAAGGAAGCTAAGAAAACATTTACTAGGATTGCATATTGGGGACTTAGGTCTAACATGGACAAAAAGTTTATCTGTGGTAGTTTATTTCCAACGTGGCAGCTTTTGCATCCTTGCTGCTTAAGAGATTTTAGTTTCCTTTGTCTGGGCTGGGGCACTGAATCCTTTTCACGCTGTCTGCTGCGGCCACTCCTTTCAGCCCCTGCTGTGAACATCCTCCCTTATCCTTCCCTTTCTTCAGACTTTTCTGATTTCTTGCTTATGGCCACTGTGTGGACAGTCGTACAACATGCCATCTCTGGCTTGCTCTAGGCAGACTAACATCTCTTCCTAATATATCTTGCGGGAAAGGTGTTTGCCTTTTAGGCTGCGCTTTGCTTCTGCTAGGGTTTTGCCATTTCCTTATCACTGAATTCATCTCAGTCTTAGCCCTGAGATAATGCCCAGCACCATCTGTTTGCTGTATCAGTCAGTAACACTGTTCAAAGACAAATGAATCTTTTTGCAACTTCCTCTGATGACCTTATGGAAGTGCCTATCAATTCAGAGGTATAGTCAGCCCTTGTCTAAAAGTATTGTGTTCCCACTGGTTTCAGTATGGATGAGGATTTAGTCATACAGTTAATTTTCTTAAAAGAAGTGTCCAAATTGTAAGGTTAAACCAATTTACTTTAACAGGGCCGTTTGTATACCCTGTATATTCTGATTTTAGAATGGCTTAGCAAACTGAGATAAAAACATCCATACAGGTATTTTTTCATTGATTTAATTAAATCCTTTTAAAAATAATTTGGGCTAGGTTTAACTTCCTTGTGGAGACAGGGCAGGTTTTTACCTGCAAACAGTATTTCCTCATCCAGACTGAGTCTGTTTTGCACATACTCCTTTTGCTGTTCTGAGTGTGTGACAGTATTTTAGCAGTTATTAGTGAGTTTGGCTTCGACCTACTTTTTCTGTTCAGTGAGCCAGATGATACCCTCTTTTCACATCTGTATTAATTTCCTTTACTCTGTTCTTTAATTATGTTCCTGGAACACTGATGTAACGCACTGTGGGCTATATTTAACACATGTATAGAGTGGAATGTGTGTT